AGTAGACCCTGATACAAGTAGAAAGCTTGTAAGTTTAGGTGTAGATATAGTATATTTAGTACTCCACTTCTTAACATATTTGCTATTATTATTCATTTCAGTTACACTTAATGTTGACAAGTCATAATCATAAACAGATGTTTTACCACAGTCAAAAGGGGAAAAATAGATTCAAAGTCTGTTGAATCTCCATAAAAAGTTAAAAATGTCAAAACAAAAAATGAACAACAGAAAAACTGAGAAATCTGGGATCTCTGGCCATTTAGATGTTTCTGATGAAATACAGTTACTGAATTTAGGTCCCATCATTCTTGATTTATACTTCTTTAACTCTTCACAACTATTACTTCAGTTATTATTTCACTTTCCCCTTTAGCATTTCTTATTATTTATTTTTGAGGAAATGCTTTGCTGAAATTATAAAGAATTCCTACAAAACAGCTAAAAGGTACATTTTTTTCAACATGATCTTTAATAATGTATTAATTTAAAATGTTGGGAGTCTGATTCAGCATAGGAACATTTTTTTGAGAACACAAAATTCATATTTTTTAAAGAAAGGTAAAAAAGGGTAAGCTAAAGATGTTTGGTTTCCCAATGAAAAATTCATTGGATCACTTTCTATCCACTTTGTATATGGAGAAATAGAATCCATTCTGAGCCTCCTGAAATTCAAATAATAGCACTTGCTACTCCATTTCCATACTTTCTTGGAAGTTCAGATAACTAAATAAAGCAATGGTGCTGGACATTCTTGGTCTCTATTTTGAACCTCTAGTTAGGCAACTAGGAAAAGCACATCCCAAAGTATAGTTACTGCTAGAGTATTTCTTTTTCTTTTTCTCATGGACCTTACTCCCAAGTAACCCACCATCAAGGTGAAAATCCTATGAAATACATTTGGAGTTGGTTGCTACAATTCACAAAACTCTTATTTCTTGGTTTTATGTTAAGTGCATATGTCTTGCTACTTTTAGCATTAGGGGACTTAACAGCTTTTCTTCTGAGCCAGGAATGAACCTAGGGGATTCGAATATATTGTCATTAAGTTTACTGCCATTCATTTTTCAAATGTTTATTATCCACTTTCTCCCTTTCTTTCCCTCCCCTTCTTCCCCCTTCCCTCCATTTTTAGAGTCTTAGGTCACAGACATTTAACAATAAGTTATCTAGAGGGTCAGTTTATCTCCATTTTCTTTTGTGAACAAAATAAAAATACAACTATAACTGGTAATAACACATTTATTGAAGTACCCTGATGTATGACTGGGAGGTGTTTTTCACTTTTCCAATGATTGCATTAGGTCATAAACATTTAAAATGCCAGAAACTAAACCTCTAGTTCATTTTAACATAGGTAAACAGAAATGGTACCACATAAAAATATTATATTTTTATGACCAGTAATGTCCTTTGGTATGACTTTGAATAAGGACCACATATTCTGTAAGGTCAAAGAACCTAAAAAACACAACAATACTTATAAAATATCTCATATGTCCTTTCTGATGAAGACTGGTAAGTTTAGATTTAATATTCACCATACATTAGGAACTCAGTACAAACTTTTGGGATATATGAACTTTTAAATATTTTAGGGGGTGCAGAAGGCCAATGAGCTCAGCCCAGAATTGAGCAGGAAGAAGAGACTCGGCTGGATCACATTTGAGAAATCATGCAGTGCTTTCAATGATCCCAAACTGTTTGGTGCTGCCAAAATCCATATTTTTAACATCAGTATTTTCTATTGATGTTACATGGCTGTAGATCATGAAACAGACTTGGAAGAATCAAAATTATAAGAAAACCAAAAGGGCAGTGGAAAGATATAGAATAAGTATAAGTAGGTTGCAGCATATTGTCAACAATGACTTGCCCATGAAAAATAGTATAAAAAACATCAGTGATGACATGTACAAAGTGGGCTTAATCATGTAGCAAGATGGAAAGACAAGAAACAGATAGCCTGAGTGCTACATTAATTACAAGATATTTAAAAAAAAACCTAGAAGAAAGCCTCCAGTGCATTATATGGATGGATATTCTGTGGAGGACTTCTGGAAAGACATTGACAAGAATTGCACAGGTTGAGAAGGCATGGAGGGGTTGCTTTCTGCATAGGTGGAGGCAATATCAACATTGATCAATCAAAAATAACCTAGCTCCAGCCTGCAGTTTTATCACCAATGTACTCATTTTTATCAACACTATTATTATGAAAAGCCTTTATTAATCAAAGTCAAGAACAGTCAATCGGCTGCTGTGCAGCTTTAATAGGGTAATTTTCATTATTACCCCTTTGATTTCAAAGAAAACATTTTTTTGTTTGGTTGATTTCTTGTTTGAGGAAATTGGACCAAAATGATAAAAACAATTGGCAGGGTTGAAAAAGCTACACTTTTATCATTAGAAGCTAACTCCAATGGTTTCCAAATCCAAGGAGTTTCATAGCATGACCAGACTTCTGAGCTTCCTCCCTGTACAGAAAGTTGCTTTTCAGGGAATTTTTTTATTTCTAACCTCAACTATTATTTATAGCATTGATTTTTAAAGGTGCCTGATAATAGGGTACTCAAGAATAGACAGAACTGGATATAAAGATGCTATACTGTGCACTAAGTCTTAAGATTTATGTTGTTTTCACTTTCCTAACACCACAAACTTACATGCTGTTTGAAATCGGGCAATATACAAGTATTCTCAAATTACTATAACTATTGATTAAAAACTTAAAAAAGGAAGTCACCTCCAAAAAACTAATTTAATTGGCCAACATATTGTGCATTTAGTTTCTTTGGAGATTAAAGTGCAGGTTGTGAAATGGCATAAATAATGCAGTCAAACAGTATCATTGACTTAATGATCCATAACCAGACGTAATGCACATTACAAAGTCTTTTCATGTGTCATTCATCTATTTTCACTCAATAATTAAGTTGTAACATTTCTTTTAGCTCACTGGATTTAAGTATTACTTTCCTTCCTTGCCTTACCCATGTTGGGAGCCAAACAGAGTATTTCCTTTAGCATTTTAACATTTAGGTCAAAAGCATGTCTGTTTTGGAGCTACTAAGTAGTTTAAGGCCAACTTCTGTAAAAGTTCAATACTATAAAAACAATAACATGATTACAGAAGAAGTTGCTTCCAACAGTGGCTATCACGTGAGTTCCAGGGAATCCTGCAAGGTTCCTTTAAAAAGTATGATTAATAACATGTTCAAATGTCTGTTCTGCCATCTATGGAGCCCAAAAGCAACAGAGAACTCAGGCTTCAGAGCAGGAAAGGATTTTAAAAACTAGTCAAAATCCTTCACTTTACATATGAGGACACTGAGGTTAACAGGTGAAGTGACTTGCCCAAAGTAACATAGGTAGCAGTTAGGATTTGAAACCAGGTGCTCTGACTCTATATCCAGTATTCTTTCCACTAAACCACACTGCCTCTCCCAACCAGGAGCTTGAAAAAATAATGCAGATAGATTTCATAACATGAAATTTGTAAACTACTTTATAAGGAATTAAATAATGTTCACATAGGAAAACACAAAAAAAGAAAGGATCCTAGGGGTTGAAAATCCTAAATTCCTTGTGAGTACCTTTTCCATATTATAACTCAAAATCCATTTTATTGTAATAAACTCACTAATGAGCATGGTTCATAAAAACAAAGCAATTTCAGTGAGAAGCAAGCTCTCCTGGAAAAGGCTCCGAAAACAGGTGTGATACTGCAGTACAAACTTATTTATTCTGTCGAGTGATTTCCTAATACAATACACTTACATCATACTGTTTACCATTCAAGTTAATGACAATTCAGGACAATATGATAGCTTTCTTGAAATTACTGTATATGTATCATCAACTTTTAGTGGATCAAAGTAATTAGTGTCTACCAGAAACTGAAATAAAAATCTCCAATCTTATTTTTTCAGTTTCCTAGAATTTTTGCAATTAAAAAAATGAGCAATGGTGTCTGCAGTGCCTACCCCCTCCTTTTTTCCTTACATGAAAGTCTGTTAGCAAATGCAATTCAAAAAGTGCTAAATTTAGATGTCCAAAATCCCAATATATGAGAAAAAAAATTTAAATTCCTTTTAAGGGAAGGACTTTTTGCTCAAAACAAGTAGCATCCAACAAAAAAATTATAAACAGCATTTAAGAGCTAGTTTCCTTAGAATTAAAGTATGTCCCATTTGTTCTTATAGTTAAAGAACATTTCTGTAATATGATGGAAACACCGTGGAAGGGCAATTTGTAAATAGTAAACTGGTTTGATCTGGTTTGAATGTGCTTAATGTTAGAAACTGTGACTTCTTGTTGATCATCAGTTACCTTCTAATGTGCTGACTGCTTGTTATAAAAACCATCTGTTCGTATCCGCCAAGGGGAGACTATAACGGTCAGCCTAGACACTCGGGACATCATAAAGAAACATGAGAAAGGAAGGTTGGAATGGAGGGGATTTAAGAAAGTGAAATCAGAGTGAAGTCTCAAGTGGATAGTGTACCAAACAAACCTTTCCCAGGAGTACAGACTTGTTATAATTCATTAAGACCGGTTAAGGTATTCATCTTAATAATAAACTAAGACTGTTAAACGCAAAATCATCATAATAGATAAATATGTATTCTGTCTCCTGAATTCTAGAAAAGCAGTCTTTAGCAAAGGCCATAAAGTATTCCAACAGGCCTCCACCCCAGCTGTGACATTATAGATAATTTGATGACAAAAAAGAAAACTAGCTGAGATGAATTCCAACCTGGGACTTTTACCTGTATTGATAAATATGTTTTATGGAAATTGTTAGTTTATCTCTCCCCAAAACAAATTATGATAGCTATTAAAGATCCTTACTTAAAACATACATTGTAAATAGGCTTTCAAAGTTATGTGCTACTGATATAAATTTAAGGACAACTATGAATGGGTAGGAAGAATTTTACCTTTGTTGGGTTAATTACTAAGAAGTATAACCTCATCATATTGGACGGATGCAAAAAGGTGGTAACCTTGTGCTTTATTAAGCTAAGATTCTTACTTATACCTTAGACTTAATTTAGATGTCAAACTCCACAAGGAAATAGATATTTTTCCATGCTACACCTAAATGTACTTTAATTTCACTGAAGCCCAAGGCAACAGTTGCTTAAAAGAATTTTTAACAGTCAAATGATAGCTATATAGTACAGTAAAAAATAAAACAAAGACAGTGATATCTGTATAATGTTTCAAAAATATACAACTGGGAAAAATAATCACTGTACACAACAACTTAGAGGTTGTTAAAGTGACCAATCAGAAGATTGAACAGTGCAAGACATGCTTTTCCAGTTACAAGTTTAAAACAGGAGTGCAAAAGAAATTAAAGCTTTTGTTTAAAGTTTTAGGATAAGGAAAGCTCGAATATAGTTATAGTATTAAAAAGCTTCCCCTGACTATTCTCCCCTCCCCCAATGAAAGGATGTAAATGTCTTTTCATCATACAACCATTTTCTTGAATGGACTTTGCTTCACCGATTAAAGAGTTATACAAATAAGCAGTGTCCACTACTCAGTCATCACATTTTGACCTATGGGCTGACACAGTAGTGTGATAAGACAGTACTAGTAACCGGAGATCCTACATATACAGAAAGAGCCTTGAAAGTTGGATTTCTGCCTTAGCCAGAGTACCTGAACTCTCCAGGGAATGGATAATGCAACAGGCATCAGTACTGCTCAACCCCCATGTAAAGAGCAATCAAATGAACTAGTCTATTTCCCCATTGAAGGCTCAAGCTCACCTCTGCCTACTGTAATGACAGCAGATGTTAACTAGGGTACTAAGAACATAGAAGCTTCTTTCTTTATCAGTGGGAAATCTAGAGGTTCAAGGTCAATGCCAGTGCAAGTGCTCTTGAGTGAGCTAAAAAGGCAGTGCATGCATCTATCCATGCAAATGTAGGACCTGGTTCCAACAGGGAATTGAAATTGTGTATATAATAGCTGGATGAGTCCCTTGCCAGTAGTCTACAAAAATATATAGTCAATACTGTAGAGGTCTCTTCTGCAGTCAATACTGTAGAAGTCCTTTTCAATCACCCATTACTTCAATACCAAAAAGCATTAACTACTTTTCAGACATTCCAGACAAAGGTCACTTGTAACAAAAAGTCGACTTGTTTTTTATACAAGATAGCGTCCATTTAAAAAGTAGGTCTTTTCTTTCAAGTGAACAGGACATTTTCTGTACTTAAACTTAATTTCTAGTCTGTTAAGATAGGGTTTATTTAAGATCCTTATTTAATGTGCATATATGCAGAAACACAAATAAATTTACTTTAACACATCATCTGCACGGAAAAAAAGATTAACTCCTCCAAACATGATAGAGTGTGGGTCTAGTTATTACAAATCTATTGCAAATTAAAAATATCCTGTGCATCAGTCCACCCAGACAGAAAGGGGGAAAATGTCCCAACAATGAGTAAACGTCAAAGTCTAAGCTGCGTTCTGGAGACCGAGCAGCCTAAAGGACACCATGCTGCTAAACCCAAGTATCCACGTGAGCATGACTGCATGGGCTGCTAAGCTTACATGCCTTTTTGGAGCTATAACTGAATCCCAAGTTATTTTCTATTTCGAAGGCGTTTAGATTTCCTAAGAGAGTCTATGGCTTCCACTGCCTTTCTCCGTTTCCGAGGAGACTCCTCATTTGGCCCAGACCCTGAGGAATTTCCTACTGCGCTTTCCATGACTTCTCGAAGCTTTCGTTCCAGCTCTGCCAAACGAGCATTCTGTTCCCCTATGATTTGGGTTTGCTCTAGCAGTTTCTGGTCCTGATCTTGCAGCTGTTTCTGCTGTTCTTGCACTTTAGTGCGAAGCTCAGAAATTTCCCGCCTGAGTACAGTCACACCAGCACCGTTTGTTTTCACTTGCTGCTGAAGTTTAGTGACCTCCTGTCTTGAAGGGTTTTGTTTGGAGAAAAGCTGCATTGTTGTTAGGGCTGCAGAAGGTCCTGGAACTGTGGCAAAAGAGAGTTATAAGAGACACAAATTAATTATTTTTTAAAAAGTTAGTTTCCACAGAATTAATACCTGATATAACCAAAACTTTTTGAATACTCTGTAACGTACTTAGCCTATATAATGCAGAGAAGCTGGTTAACCTGATTCTGTAAATTAATTTTTAATTCTCAAACTCCAAACTATCATGGCAATATTTAGATTACAGAAGAACATTAAATGATACATATTTGTGAAAGTAAAAATTGTAAACATTTTCACTACTTTAGTAATTGTTAAATATTATAAAAAATAATCTGAGAAATAACTATTCAATAAAAAGCAAAATGACAGGTCTTTTAGGGATGTCTGCAGGATGCAATAAGCATTATCTCTGAAGACTACAGCCAACTTCTAAGCCAAGTGAAAGGGTATGTAATGGACAAGTCATACTGGACCACAACATTTTTTGACAGTCTAGGGAGGTTTGGCAAGACATTTTAGCATTAGAATTGTTGTTATAAGGTGTGAATACAATGAAACAAAAACATTATACCACTTTTATCCTACATAATTCAATTTAATGTATAAATCCCATTAAACAACAAGCCTGCATTTTACACAAACTTTTCATTTATGGGAGTGGATTTGCTCTTAGAGCAAGAAGTGACCTTAGAAAATACCTCACCCACTCCTCTTATGGAAAAAAAGACCCGAGAGGTGAAGTCACTCATCTAAGGACACACAGCTAGTGAGAGAGCTGGGACCAAAATGGAGTTCTCTAAGCCTAGTGCTCTTTTTCTACTTTCCTACACTGCTGTTTATATGGACCACACAGGGCTAAGAATGCTTTTTGTCACCTTTCTGGATCTGGATAAGATTATATTCAGTTCAGTAAGTATTTATTAAGCATCTATTATATGCCAAGAGCTGGGTATACAAACAGCCACTGTCTTCAAACAGCTTTTTACTTTTTATGGGGGGCAGAGGGGGTGCAACAACACGTGAACAAACATCACAGACAAAGTCTGGAAGAATGAGCACCAGTAATTCAGGGATGATAGACTTCCTCTAGGAGGTGCCCTTGACCTGAGGTTGGAAGGAAGCTGAGGCTTTCAATGAGGTACAGATGTGGAGGGAGGGCAGACATTCCACAGATGGGGACAGCTTGTGACAAGACAGAGGAGATGGAAAAGCAGTAGGAAGAGCAAGGAGTCCAGCCTGGCTGTAGCCTAAGAATACCTGAAAGGGAAAGATGTGTAGTACACCTGGAAAGGTAGGCTGAGGGCAGATTGGGAAGGGTTTTAAAAGCCAAACTGAGACATTTGCATTTTATCTTAACGGCAATAGGAAGCCATGGAAATTTCTTGGGCAGGACAGTAATATGATTAGAACTGTGATTTAGAAATTTCACTTTGGTTATACCAATCAAACTACCATGGGATTATTTTGTAGAACTAAGAAAAATAATGAAATTCATTTGGTGGGAAAAAAAGGTAAAAAATCTCAAGAGAAATAGTGGGAAAAGAGGGGAAGGAAGGACACTAGCACTAGATCACAAAATACAGTACAAAGCAGTAATTATTGAAGTGATTTAGTACTGCTTAAAAAAGAGAGGTCAGTAAGTGAAACAGATTAGGAACACAACATACTAAAGCAAACAAACATGGGAGCATAAACCCAAAGACCCCAGTGACTGGGGGAAGGGCCTGACAAAAATTTCTGGGAAAACGGGTAGAAATTAGGTACAGACCAACATCTTACACTGTAAAGGAAGGTAAATTACAAAAGGATACATGACTTAGACATAAAAGGTGACATCAGTCAAATTAGAGGGGCAAGGATTTTTGGATAGGGAAGAATTCATGATTAAACAAGCATTAGAGAAGATGAAATCAACAATTTTGATTACATAAAATTTAAAAGTTTTTGCAAAAAAAATCTAATATAGTTAAAATTTGATAGGAAATAGGTAAAAGGGGGAAAAAATCTCTTTAGCAAATTTCTTTATAAAAGCCTCATATCCAAGATATATAAGAAACTAATTCAAATTTGTAAGACTAAGAGACATTTTTCAATAGATCAAAGGATATGAAGATGCAGTTTTCAAAAGTAGAAACCCAAGTTGTCATCTACCATATAAAAATACTACAAATAATTAATAATTAGAGAAACTTAAAGCAACCCTGAGGCTCTACCTAATATCTATCAGATGGACAAAACTGACAAAAGAAGAAATTGACAGATGTTGGACAGGCACACTAGTACATTGTTAGTGGACCTGTGAATTGGTCCAGCTATTCTAGAAAGCAATTTGGAACTATGCCCAAAAAGTTACTAAACTGTAGATACCCTTTGACTTAGCTAGATCACTACTAAGCTTATAGCACAGAGAGATCAAATAAAGAGGAAAGGGACCTATATGTACAAAAATACTCATAGAAGGTTTTTTCATAGAAGCCTCAAGCTGGAAACTAGGGAATTCCACCTATGGGGAATGGATAAACAAATTATGGCATATGAACATAATGGAATATTATTGTAACACAAAAAATGATTAAATGATTAAATGGACAGTTTCAGAGGAAACTGGGAAGACCCCTATGAAACAAGGTAGAGTGAAGTGAACAGAACTAGAGTAATTTATACAATAACATAAAAAAAAAACCTCAAAAGACTTTAGAACTCTGATCAATGAAACACTATGAATCCAAAGGACTGAAGATGAAACATACCTCCTACCTCCTATCAAAGAAAGAGATGGCTGACTTAAAATGCAGAGCAAGACATATATTTTTAGATATGATCAATGTAGGTTTTTGTGTTGTTGGACTATTAATATTTTTTATGAGGGTTTCTTTTTTAAAAAAAATCAACTGGGGAAGTGGGAGGGGAAGGTAATAAATGTCTGTAAAAATAAATATTTAAAATAAGAAAAAAAGGAATTTCACTTTGACAGTTATGCAGAGGATGGACTAAAAAGGAATAGACTAAAGGCTGAAAGCATAATTAGGAGCCTACTGGATTGTTCCAGGTGAGAAGGAATGAGGGCTTTACCTAGGGCAGTGTCTTTGTGAACTGACAGAAGGGGTAGATGTGAGATATTAATGTGGAAGCTGAACTGACAAGACTTGGTAACTGACAGGATGTGAAAGGCTGGGGCCAGGGGTAGAAGGAAAAGAGTTGAGGATGACCCTAAAACTATGAACCTGGGTGACAAGAAGAATGGTGGCCCCTCCACTGAACGGCAAAAATAGGAATAAAAGAGTTTTGGGGAAAAGAGAATGAGTTCTCTTTTGGAAATGTTAGTTTGAGATACTTATGGAACAATTCAATTGTGGGTGTCCAACAGACAGTGATGTGGGAGTGCAGTTTAGGAGAGAGGCAAGGCTTCTGTATGGAGATTTGGTAGTGATCTATTATCAACATAATAGCTGAACCCATGAGGAATTATCAAGAGAACGGGGTTAATTTGGTGTCCTTTTCTAGCCAGATGTTTGAGAATGAAACCATTTGTATGTTAATACCACCTGCTAGCAAGAGCTTTTATTATTATCGGTTTGATTTTCCATATCAGGATTAATCATTTGTGAGACATATTAAGGGTAATAGTCTAGCACCAACTTTCTTTCCTTTTCCTTAACGGTATCTTTTTTTTTTTTTTTGCACAAGGCACTGGGGTGAAGTGGCTTGCTCAGGGTATCAAGTGTCTGAGGCCACATTTGAACTCAGGTCTTCCTCAATCCAGGGCCAGTGCTCTATCCACTGCGCCATCTAGCTGTGCCCTAATGGTATTTCTTTAAATCTTTTCTCTGAGCCTACTGTTATTCCATGGTCTACTTCCCTTCTCTTCCAAAAACTTCATCTTAACAAATGTATAAAAGCACTGAAGTAAAAATAGCAACCATAAACATTTTTCATGCTGTTAAAATTAGTCCAACATACCTTTAGGACTTTGACCTGTTATGTCAAATGTTGACCAAAAATCAAAACCATGACAGTTTTTCTTTAATCAGACAAATCACTACGCATTTACTATATATCTCAAGCTTGTATATCTTGAGCACTGTTGTTAAGTACTGGGATACAAAGAAAGGCAAAAACAGTCCTTACTCTCAAGGAGCTCAAATTTTAATGGGCAAAGACAAAATGCAAACGATTATGTATGTACAAGATAGATACAGGGTAAATTAGGTATAATCTCAGAAGGAAGGCACTAGCTTTAAGACAGATCAGGAAAGGCTTCTTGTAGTAGGTAGGATTTTAGCTGGGACTTGAAGAAAGCCAAGGAAGCTAGGAGGCTGAGCAGAGATGAGGAGGAAGAGCATTCCAGATATGGGATACCATCCAGTGAAAATGCAAGGTTGAAAGAGGAGTGTCTTAAACAAAAGCAAGTGTCACTGGACTGTAGAATATGTGGAGGAGAATAAAGTATAAGGAGACTAGAAAGGTAAGAAAGGGCTAGGTTATGACTATATGGCCAGTGGTTACATTAAAATACCATTTAGCTCTCTGCCCTGCCCCTCCCCCAATCATAATTAAATTCTAAACTATTCAAAATAATTACCAACCTACATTGTTATTATTGTTGATGCTTAATACAAAGGCAGTGTGGCTTAGTGGACTGCGCGCTGATCTTGGAGTCTGGAAGACCTGGCTTAAATCCTGGCTATTATGTATTGATGTGTGACTCTCAGCAAGTCACTTAACCTTTCAGTGCTCTAAGCAACTCCTCTATTTGGTAGAGGGAGTTTTCTCTCCTGGGAGTTCCTTATACCAATGAAATCATAGGTCTAGTCCTTACTCAGTCTCTAGTCTTAATATTCATAATTAATGTCCAAAAGGTTCCAAATTGATTTGCTTTAGAATGGAATTGACTCATAGGTGGTCTCTAGGGAAAATACTGAAATTAAAGAATAGGGTTTCCTTGCTGAATCAGTAAAATTTTTGTTAAGATCTAATTTAGATCTGCTATCATTACTGCAGGCAGAGGTGAGCTTGAGCCTTTAATGGGGAAACAGACTAGTTCATTTGATCTCTCTTTACATGTAGGGGGTTGAGCAGATGCCTGTTGCATTATCCATTCCCTGGAGAGTTCAGGTACTCTGGCTAAGACAGAAATCCAACTTTCAAGGCTCTTTTCTGTGTATGTAGGATCTTTGGTCACTAGTACTGTCTTATCACACTACTGTGTCAGCCCACAGTGATGACTGTGATGACTGAGTAGTGAGTACTGCTTATCTGTATAACTCTTTAATCGGTGAAGCAAAGTCCACTGAAGAAAATGATTGTACGATGAAAAGACATCAATCAAACAACAAGTATTTATTAAGTCTGTACTATGTGCCAGGCGCTGCTAGTAGGCACTGAGAATATAATAAATAAGCCCAAATCTCAAGAAGTTTATATTTGAATGGAAGAGACAAGTTATATAGATAAATATACATGGGATAAATATAAAGAGGATAAATGCATATATCTACAAGGTAGTTAAACAGAATATACAGTGAGGCTGGAAAGACAGACCAGAGCCAAAGGCTTTAAAAGATAAACAGAGGAACTGATATTTTATTCTCTAGGTAATACAGAACCATTAAAGTTGACTGAGTAGGGAGTGATATGGTCAGATCCGCCTGAAAGTAAAATTATTGTGACAGTTATGTAGAGAATGAACTAAAATGGTGAGAAGCCATTGAGGCAGGGAGTCCAATTAGGAAACCACTGCAACAGTCTACAGAGGAGGTGATAAGAGACTAAACTAAGGTGGTGGCTGGGAAAGGGTCTGAAATAAGAGATGTTGTGGATGAAAAAATGGCAAGAGTTGTCAAATGGATTGAGAAATAGGATAAGGGAGGGTGAGGAGTTAAAGACACCATTAAAATTACAAATCTTGAAGAGAAGAACAGGGAAATTTGGAAGGAGGGGTTTGATAGGAATGATCATGAGTTCTGTTTTGGACATAACTGAGTTTGAGATACTCATAGAACTATCCAATGTCCAACAGCAGTTAATGATACCCAAGATCAAAGCTCAACGGAAAAACTAGGGCTGCCTACATAAGTCTGAATTTTATCTTAAAGGTGATAATTAAACCCCATAGGAACAAATTTGGTCACCAAGAGTGAGAGTGTAATCAGAATAGACAAGAGAGCCTTGGGGAAACCCACAGCTGATGACAGCAAGGATAAAATATCCAGTGTCACATGACATCAAGATAAAAAAAGATAAGGATTAGGGAAAAGATTGTCAAATTTGGCAATTAAGAAATCAATGATAATTTTGAAGACAGCAGTTTCAGTTAAGTGATGAGCTTAGAAGCTAGACTGCAAAGAACTGAGAAGTGAGAGAAAAGGAAGTGGAAAAAATAAGCACAGACAAGATTTTCAAGGAGTTTGGGTGAGAATGGAGGAGATACAGGATGATAGCATAAAAGAATAGTAGGATATAATAAAGGTTTTTAAGGTGGGGAAGACTCGGGCATGTTTGATGCTCACATGGAAGGACCCAGTAGAAAGGGAGAGAAGTTAGAGAGAGAAGGGAGATGTTTGAGAAGGCAATCTGCTGGAAAAGACAGGAGGGGATGGGATCAAAGGTACACATTTTGGGGTTGGCCCTGGCAAGGTGAGAGACTATCTCATTATCAGAAACTGGTAGAAAGGAAGAGAGAGTAGGGGATGATGTCAAGTGGTTTTGAGATGAAGAGAAGGGGAGATCATAAACAGCACATCACTTATTTTCAAGATATCCCTTCCCATTCCCCTACACAGGGTTAAAAAAATATATATAAAAAAGCAGTTCAGCAAAACTAATATATCAACCAAGTCTCATAGTATTTGTAGTGTCCACATCCATAGTATCTTCCTCCCACCTCCAAAGAAAGGAGGGAAGTTCATTTTCTCTTTTCTGGGGCCAATCTCAGTCATTATAATTACACAGCATCCATTTTGGTTTGAAAAGGCTGCTTTTAAGTGAAATTTTACAGTTAAGTATTAGTGGAAAATGTGATACAATATAAATAGTATATACCTGGAGGAGAGCCTATGAGTCGCCCAGACACATCTGATCCTGGTAACTTCTTCTTTAGAATTGGGACAATCTTCTCATCAAAGTATTCCATTGCCATGGAGGAAATATCCCTTAACTCTTGGAGGACTTCATGAGCCCGCTGTGGGGCTCTGGTAGAATTTACATATCTCAGCACACGATAAATTTCATCAATTACCTAAAATAATGAATTTTCATTAGTTTTCTAAATTTAAAAAAAAATAATTAAATTGAAAGAGAAATTTGCTCCAGAACCGCTAATGTGATTAATGGATTGGCCATTTATCACACTGTCACCTGCTAGTTTCCTTCAGGTACATTATCATAAGACTGTGATAAATTTATACTTTTAAATGAATTTGTGCTGACAGCACAAACCAGTTACAAGTATTCAGAATTAGGAAGTATATATCAAAGAATCAGAGGATCACAGATTTAAAGTTGGAAGGAACCTCAGAGTTCATGTAATCTAGTTCCCTTATTTTACAGATGAAGAAAATGTGGACCAGAGAGGTTAAGAGACAGCAAGTCACAGAGCCAAGATTATTCTTTTACAGCAGGGGTTCTGTGAAAAGGTTTTTTAAAAGTAATCTGAGAACTGCAATATAATTGGCTTCTTTTGTAATGATCTGTATTTTATGTTACGCATTTATTATTTATTATTCTGAAAAGGGACACCAGGCTTCACTAGATTGCCAAAAGAATCTGACACAAAAGGTTAAGAATCCTGTTTTACAGTATTTTACAAAGGCATTTAAAATGAATGTGAGAAAAACTGAATGTGAACAAAACTAAATTTTGGATAAAGTTCCAAGAAACATCAGATGTATATGCTATATTTACCCTTCTCTACTCACTCAGTGCCCAAAGCAAATTTTATACAAACATTAAAAATGGGTATACTTCGTGTATAAATACTGTCCATTATCCAAGGATCATATGGGAAAGAGTATCAGAGATCATTCAAATGTTCTTGACCTCACAATCGAATGATATTCCTACTTTTTGATTTTCAAAATGAACATTATATATTTATGGAAGCTATGCAAATTAGCAGAGTTTAGAAGAAACTAAGCCAGGTTTGGAAGTATTAGCCAGTGTATGAGTATTAACAAAAAATTAAACATAACCCACAAAATCATTAGACATGTGAAGCTTACTAATTTAGTGGCAGGTATTTACAGGTGTTCCATGTTTCTGTCCTTCGGGAGAGCAGCAGATGCTGAGTTTTAATGTGGAGGGAAAGGAAAAGACTTAAACATTTAGAAGAGCAGATATCTTTTTTTTTTTAATAGACTCCCTACCTGAGACTGAATCCTGGACTATAGGGACCACTGAATCTGACCCATTGTGATGGTTCTTACGTTTTTATGTTCTTACCACTCAAGGAAGCACTGACTCTTCCAGAGCAGCAATTGAGAGTAGATTTTGGAAGGAAGGTATGGCTGCTGGGATGGATATATGGCAAAGAATCAGGAAGTATAAAGGTAGAACAAAGGAAAATAAATGACATCTACTTTCTATTTTTACTTCAAATCTAAAGTATATCCAAAAGCTTTAAAACAGTATCTTAAACTTACAATTAAGGTTGGGTAAACAGTTAACCAGAGTACTTTACCTAAATATCCTAAGATACTACATATATGACACCTTAAAATACAAATTATACCACACATATAATTTAATCTTTCTTTCAAAAAGCCTTTCAAGATCTCATAGTCTGTTCCTTAGACTTTAAGTTAATAATTTAAAAAATACTAAGTTTCTAAATCAGACTTTTCTTGGCACTGGTGGGGAGAGACTATGTTCATCTGCCTTGCATAAAAGTAGAATATGGGGGAAAAAAATAATTATTTATGTTCACTGGCTGGACCCCACATAACCTGAAATTTAATTTATTACACTATTCTACTGTGGGTTATCATTCCTTTACTTTAGTTTTCCTCCTGTTTACAGTTTCCTTCATTCTACTGGAGAACATTTTATGAAATATTTTATAATGCAAAGTAAGATAGCAACATAGCTAATTTCATAGGTTAGAATTTAGCATGCAAAATAGGCAAAAACAATAAAATGGAAATTCAACTTTACCACTTCAGTTAGAATACAGTCAAAACAACATTTTATGTAGGGGAAGGTCAAAATAATTAAAAACACTCCTTTCTCGGCATAAGACTACTAGTCTTAGGAAAAGGAAACAGATTTGGATGACCTTGTCTTTCACCTAAACTTCTGAGACTTTCTCCCCATTCATGTCTCTGGCACCTTCAAAGAAGTGAGGAGCCTAAAGGCAGAGAGTAAATAAAGCTGGTCCAGTGCATTAAAAGCTTATATAGCCTCTCTTTCTTTCCCGATTTCACTAAGCCTGCAAATCTTATCCCTGCAGGTCATTTCTTGGGGTAGAGCCCTCTGGTGGCCACATAGGGTATAGTCTGTCTTAAGTTCTGCATCTCCCCCATTCTCTCTTTTTTCACCTAATGCTTATGTCAGGGCAACAGGGGCACAAACAGTTTACTGTCACCTTATGTAGATTTATCTCTATGTGAGCAGGGCCCCACCCAGAACCCTACAATTCTGTACTGGACAGCCTAGAAACTGGTATCAATTCTATACTTTTAGTCAGCTGGACAAAAATAAATCAGACAGAGGTTATTGTAACAAGGGGGTAGCTAGGTAGCACAGCGGATAGAGTGCAGGTGCTGGAATCAGCAGGACCTGAATTCAAATCCTGTCTCAGATGCTTATTAGCTGTGTGACCCTCGGCAAGTCACTTAACTTTGTCTGCCTTAGTTCCTCATCTTTAAAATGAGCTGGAAAAAGGAATAGCAAACCATTCCAGTATCTTTGCCAAGAAAACCCCAAGTGGGGTCACAAAGAGTCAGACACGACTAATCAGTTTCATAACAACAAAATTATAACAAACAATAAAAATAAAAAGATGAGAATGGTAAATTCCTCAGAAAGCTTACTATGACCATAAAGTACAAGAGCTTCCCATATATTCTTCTGCGAGTTGTGATTTCAAAATACTAATTTTATCTGAAGACCTCAAGATAAAAGTTTTTTTAGAGTAAGTTTCCTTTTATGCCAGCCTAATCTCTGCCTTGGGCGCTCTCTCCTCAGTTCCTGCTACTTTTTCCCTGGCCACTGCTCTGACCACTCTTGCATTTCATATCAAAAGTCTGTTTGCACCCCATTTAGCTGTTCTTGGATGGGCCTGATTCAGTTTGACACTGGAACAAAATTCAATAGTCAACAAAAGTGGATTTACTTAGCCACAGCAGAAGGATATCACACGAGGCTCTCCCTCCCGAGCTGCTCATCCTGGTCAATGGCCAACCATCGGAAAGTGCCAGGAGCTCCTCCGGGGCTGTTTTATACTCAGGAGACCAGGAAATAACGTCAATAACCTAAGCCTTCAGTTTCCTGAGTCGATCAAGTACTGATTGGATGGCTTCAATTTCTCTTTTTTATTTTTTATTTTTTGCTTTTTGGTGGGCAATTGGAGTTAAATGACTTGCCCATGGTCACACGGCTAGTAAGTGTCAAGTGTCTGAGGCCAGATTTGAACTCAGTGCCTCCCGACTTCAGAGCTTGGTGCTCTATCCACGGCGCCACCTCACTGCTCCAGTTTCAATATCTCTTAAGGGAAAACTAACCCTGAAGGGGTGGGAGAGAAAGATTAGAGTACTGCTCTCTTTGCTGACACACAGTTAAGGAAATACTGACACTTCTCAACCAGTTAACACCTACAGGACATGTTAAGAGCACTACCTATTTAAATAATATTTTGAAATATGTCACAGCACAACAATGAAACAAAAACACATCCTCTTATAATAACATAATCAGAACTATTTAGTAATAAACATATCTAGCACTCTGAAAACATCTTCATGTCCTATTCTGGTTTGTCCTTTTTTAACTGTGTATGCCTATAACATTTCTTCCCTTTAAACGGTTGTAGTCAGTGAGTATGTTGCTATTTCCAGTTCTGCTCTTTTTGTGCTTTTTCATTTCTTTATGTACTTTGAATTTGTCTTTTTTTTTTTTTAGGGTAGGTGTGTGAGGCAATTGGGGTTAAGTGACTTGCCCAGAGTCACATAGCTAGTGAGTGTTATGTGTCTGAGACCATATTTGACCCTAGGTCCTCCTGACTTCAGAGCCAGTGCTCTATCCACGGCGCCACCAAAATATTCCCCGAAATCTGTCATTTTTAAATTGCCTAATAATATTCCCTTTACACTGATATATGACAGTTAATTTGCCCACTTCTCATTTGACATAGATTGTTTTCTATTTTTCCTCTATTACAAATAAAGCAGTTATGACTACTTTGGAACATGGTAAAATTTTCTGATTTTTAATTACACCCTTAGGATCAATGGATCTATAGTTAGTTTTACAATTTTAATGATCTTGAGAAATATTAATTTATAGTCCTACCAAAGATCTAACTGAATACTAGTTCCACACAGCTTTGCCAACACAGTTTTATTACTTTAAGTTATTTAAAATTAAATTAAAAATCTCCCCTCTTTGATATGTATGAAGTGATATCTTAAAACTGTTATAACATACATTTATATCATCATTAGAGAAGTTAACACAGTAAGGCTCTGGAGGTAGAGCTAAAATGGCAGAATAGCAGGAAGCAGTATAGTGAGTTCCCCACACAAAACTCCTCCAAACAGATCTAGAAAATGCACCAGACAGAATCCTGATGGGGAAATACAAGAAAAAAAAAACTCACAGTGAATCATTTTCACAGACCAGAGATCAAAGAATGAAGAAAAAGACCCACAGGTACGAAGTATTTATAGCAGCTCTTCACAAAGAATTTGAAACTGAGGGGATGCCCATCAACTAAGGAATGGCTGAACAAATTATAGTATATGAAGGTGACAGGATGGTATTATGCTGTAAGAAATGATAAAGGGGATAGTTTCAGTTTTGGAGTGCCTGGTACCATATATTAGGTGTTTAATAAATGTTTACTGATTGACTGATTAAAGGAGAAATCAATGACTCCAATGAGATAACAAGAAATATTAAAGTAAAAAGACTGAAAAGAAAATGTAAGGTGTCTCATAGCAAAAACAAATAACCTAGGAAACAGATGGAGGAGAAAAAAAACTGAAGAATCAATGGACTACTTGAAAAAAGAGCCCAGATATT